ACTGTTGTTCAAGAACTCTTTTTAGCTAGTAGAATTCTAATTTTTTGGTTGACATTCAACACGACGTAACTCACAATATTATCATTTCATAAACTTTTTTAAAAATACAAAAAAAAATTAAAATATTATGTTTTTATTGTTGGAAATAAAAAATATTACGAAATTGAGTTTTAAATACTTTGCCCAAACTTTTACACTTTCAATAAAGAAGAAGAGCAACAAGAAAGCCGCGAATGAACCACTGACAACAGAAAACGTTAAATGTTTTCGAACTACATACATACACCAATACATACGAAAGCACATAAATATTTCTTACCACAAATCAAGCATTGCAGGTAGGGATGCCTGTGCACGGACGTGTGTGATAAATAAGCAAAAAGCCATATCCAAATATATTTCCGTCTTGCTTTGTGCTTCGCTTTTTAATAACATCCTGCGCTTTGTCACACGCATGCAATAAAAATGTGTGCGTTCGTTACGGATTTTCCTAAATTAAACCGAAACATTCCCAAGATCCGAACTTTTCTTTTCAAGGCTCTACGCAGAAGCACAATAAAATTGAACCCCATACACGCATTCAACCAGCAGCCCAACAACAGAATACGGCACACTCGGATGCCTATATAGTCCAACAAAGTTTCGTGTGACACCCAAAAAGTTGTGTAAGAAATTTGATACTTTTCCACGCACAAAGAGAAGGATCACTGGAATTACTTACGTTCTTTGGTTGTGTGGTTTATTGGATTTCCCTTAACCGATGTGCATTGAATGCTTTGGTGTGTGATAATTGCTTTCGTATTTATGTGCGCCTTGAGAAAAAGGCAACATCAATCCTTTAGGATTATACACAATGTCAAACATTTAACATAAATACATGGTACGTATGTGTACATACATATATTAGTCATGTTGTTTTATTTATGTACATATGTATATTCATAAATTCCTTTTTGTAGACTAACAAGAGAACCAAAATAAGGTTAATTCGAATTCATGGAGTACTCTTCGATATTACCGTAGAAACTGGATATTTTACAAGCGTTAAGGAGGTTCATGCCTACCAGTCCTACTATATTTAATCTTTTAAAAATGATATTTTGAGCTCAGCTCAATCACCTCCAACATTTTATCTTTAAACACGTTTTACCAAAACCACACTTTTTAATTTTTATTGAGTAAATCTTCTTCTTCTTTATTGGCGTAGACAACGCTTACGCTGTTATAGCCGAGTTTACAACAACGCAAACCGTTCTTCTTTTTTGCTGAATAGAGGTCTTCCTCTTTCTCTGCTTCCCCCGGCGTAGCCGTGAGCGTTTTCGTCCATTCACGACCTAGCCAGCGTAGGCGCTGTCTTTTAATTCGCTGAACTATGCCAATGACGTCGTATATCTCATACAGCTCATCGTTCCATTGAATACGATATTCGCCTTCCGCAKAACCTTTTTCTCGAAAAGTCGTAACGTCAGCTCATCAGATGTTGACATCGTCCAAGCCTCTGCACCATATAGCAGGACGGGAATWATGAGTGACTTATAGAGTTTGGTTTTTGTTCGTCGAAAGAGGAATTTTCTTCACAATTGCCTACTCAGTTCGAAGTAGCACCTGTAGGCAAGAGTTATTCTGCATTGGATAACAAGATAGACGAAATTATCTACGATCACTATCACCAGTGACGTGGGAGTGATGTCGCGATTGCGACGACTGTTTGTTTAATGACAGGAGATATTTCTTCTTGCCCATTTCCAGACCCATTTGGAAAGCAGAAATAACGGCGCCATCAAATAGTACCTTCTCCATTTAGTTCTGCTGCTYGAACTATTTGCTCCAAGAGTAAATTGAAGAAGTCGCGGGAAAGGGAGTCACCTTGTTTGCAATCGAACGGCTCGGGGAGTTCYTTCCCGATCCTTACGGAGCTTTTTGTATTACTCAATGTTATTTTACATACCCGCATTACTTTTGCAGGGATACCAAATTCAGACATTGACTCCCTGAATAAGAAAAAAACGTCTTACAACTTACAAGACAATCGCCCGTCGGGTCACGCAGCACTGCACGATAACAGGATCCCTCATGCATAATGAAACCTGAATGGTTTTGGTTAAACACAGGTCGGACTTCGGACTTCAGACACGCACTGCACTTCGTACATAGTGGAGCCTCTAACACCTGCGCCTACTCCCTCCCAGTGAATGGCATACGTTGAGTCAAATTACCACCGATGGCGGACGAACCGCTCAGGAACTGGCGAATCTAGAGTGACTTTTRAACAACTTCGTTCTGGATATTGCAGCTAGTTAAACTCTCCCAGATCGATCCCGACATGCAAAACATATACCCCGCGAGCAATTAGTCCTCTAATGACTATRTCCACCTTTTTACATGCTCATTTCCCTATGGGCCGATCCCTTCGAAATCGCACGTTTTCAAAGCCTCTCGTTAGATGATTTCGATGCCTACTAACTTGATCTTTGTCACCGAAATAGGGTCTAAATATCCGCCTCAATATACGAGTATTTCCTAACATACCCTAACAGTGGTAGCAACAACAATTAATTGCTATTCAAAAGTTTGCGCCCTCACTGAAAAAATAACACAGTAGGGGTATTCGCTTGCTCTTGGAGAAATATATAAGGGCACGAGAGCACCCATTGCAGAATCTAGTGATATATGAACGGCTGATTCGATCAATTTATTGTGAATGACTATTATGCATGGCTATTGTGAATTGGCGCATCTTCTGCATACATTTTTAACAAAACAAAAAAAACTGTAATAAATCTTTATAATTTAATTAGATATTATAAAATATGTTTAAAACTTACCTTCCTCAACAATTTAACGACGTAATATGTCTTTATGTAAAATGACAGCTAAAACAGGGTTTTAATTTTTTTTTTGCGCAAATATACATGGGTTTTGGTCTGACATATTTTACAGCCATTGCAAATAATTCTCTGCGTGTGTTTGTTGTTGTGCCGGTGCACCMAGAGGAAATATATGCAATTCTTGCACCGTGCATATACGTTTCATATACAAAAAATAATAATTATGAACATCCTGTAACAGAAGGAGTTATTCCGCAATTGTGAATGGACCATAGGAACAGAATTGTTTATATCCGAAACAGCTGAGTTTCCCTCAAGTCAGCTGAACAACTACAATGTCCACCAGTRCTACATAATATGAACTCAAAAATATTAATAAATTAAATAATAATGAAAGCTCAGTGGATAAGTCGTCAAATAAAAGCATTACCAGCAATCAGTCTACTTCGTAACGGAAGATTGTTACAGCAAAGCACGTTATGTCAAAAGCTGAGTACAGAAGCAAGTAACGCCGTTAAGCCGCTAAAAACACGCAAGACATTTCTAGCAAAAGTAACAGCAGGACCAGGGCTGCAGGAATTTTTCAATGTCAAGCGAGTTCCCACACATACCGACGATGATAAACATGAGGAATTTCACGTGCCTTACTTAATGCCTGAAAACTATAGCGGACAAGGACGCAAAGTATTTTTTGAAGTATATGGTTGTCAAATGAACACCAATGACACCGAAGTGGTATGGGCCGTTCTACAGCAAAACGGATACCAACGTWGCCAGGAAGCGCAACAGGCTGATGTTATTATTTTGGTGACCTGCGCTATACGTGAGGGTGCAGAACAGAAAATCTGGAATCGCCTAAAACACTTGCATGCCATGAAGGAGCGACGWTCGCCTCGCACTGGGCCTTTGCAAATTACTGTTTTAGGATGCATGGCTGAACGTCTTAAGGAACGTTTACTTGAACGTGAAAAATGTGTTGATGTAATTGCTGGACCAGATAGCTACAAAGATCTTCCACGTCTACTGGCGGTGTCGCGACATTATCAACAGTCTGCCATTAATGTACTGCTGTCACTGGACGAGACATATGCCGATGTAATGCCTGTACGCTTGAATGCCGAGTCGCCTACTGCCTTCGTTTCGATAATGCGTGGTTGTGACAATATGTGTTCTTACTGCATTGTTCCATTTACACGTGGCCGTGAACGTTCACGTCCAATAGATTCAATAGTACAAGAAGTCCAAGCTTTGCGAAATAGTGGCGTTAAAGAAGTCACATTGCTGGGTCAAAATGTCAATAGCTATCGGGATATAAGCACAACTACTAATAGCAAACCGGAATTAGCAAATAACAAAATAGCACCTGGTTTCAGTACGGTATATAAGCCGAAGATTGGAGGAATGCGCTTTGATGAGTTACTGCGACAGGTGGCTGAAGCAGCGCCTGAAATGCGCATACGTTTCACCTCGCCACATCCCAAAGACTTTTCCGAAGACGTATTACGGGTCATACGTGACTATCCGAATGTCTGTAAAAATTTACATCTGCCTGCACAGTCGGGTAACGACGCTGTATTGGAACGTATGCGACGTGGTTACACAAGAAATGCATATCTCAAGTTAGTGGACACAATTCGAACAATCCTGCCAAATGTTGGACTCTCCAGCGATTTTATTTGTGGATTTTGCGGAGAAACTGAGGAGGAATTCAAAGATACATTAACACTTATGAAACTAGTTCGCTACAACGTAGCTTTTCTGTTCGCATATAGTATGCGTGAGCGGACGACTGCACATCGACGTTACAAAGATGATGTTCCAAGTGCCGTTAAAACGGAACGATTGCAACGAATGGTTCATGTGTTTCGTCAAGAAGCTACGGACTTGCACAAACTTTTCGTTGATCGTGAAGAGCTGATACTCATAGAGGGGAAGAGCAAGAGATCAGACGAATGCTGGTTCGGGCGGAATGATGCTAACATCAAAGTCATTGTGCCTAGCATGATGCTTACCGACGATAAAGGAATCAAGAGAGAAATCACCATCGGAGATTTTGTTGTAACTAATGTTAACGATTCTAATTCTCAAGTGCTTAAAGGCACACCACTCTACATTAGTTCCATTGGACAATTTCATTCAAAGAGTGTTTAACATAAATAAAGTAATCATCTGTTGAATTGTTTTAAATTTACCTTTTTTTTTTATTCGTGACTTAGATTTTCTATAATTCCATTTGTTCTGATTTCACTACCGACTCTGCTTCTGTATTACGTGCTTTACTATCAGCGGTGAGCAATGATTTGTTATGGAAATTCGAAATGATTCGTCGGTAAAAATTAAATATTATCTGACTTGCTGCACGGCTCATGCATTCTGCATCATTAAATTGACCCATACGAAAACGACCACTTGTGTAAACTGTTACTAAATTCCTATCCAAACTATCAAAAACAAATACAAAACTAGCTCGCTTTCCTATCGCTTCACAATGGTCGGGATCCAATATTACCTTGTCATCTTTGTCTACTATGCAATGTACAGCAGCGATAGTGAATTTCATCGGCACACCACCTACCAGCAACGCTAAGCAAGCACCATTTATTGCACAAGCTTCAATCTAAAATTGTATAAATTTAATAATAAAATTAGTTACTGACCATTTTTCTTACACCACATCGATCATCCAATTCCTGTATTTGTATAGATATAGTTGTTCGTGGATGAAGCATAGTTAGTAAAGCGGACTCACATGTATCACGTATAACGGTCTCCGTCAATTTATCTTCTATTGTTGGGATGCCTGCTTTTGGGCGATAGATACACTCAACATGCGCCTTTTCTATGTTTAGATTCTGAGATTTTACTTCAATTGGACCAAGCATCGAAGTAAGTACACAGGTTCCACCTTCATTAAATAAACTTTAAGGAAATGTGTAATTTAACAAGTTACATCTTAAATAAACCTTGCGTGAACAAAGCGGAACCATCAGAACGAGTCAGAGGATTGAGTTCGCAATTTATTTGTCGCAACTTAAGATCCTGCAGCACAGCATTATTTCCTTGTGTATCCATTGTTATAGTGTCTGGGGGTGCAACCRTTTTTATTTATTTACAATATAAACTTTAATTTCAACAAGAATCAGGAAATCAAACAAATATGTRATTATTTTTTAGCGGTACTGCACGAGTTATATGCTTCTTCTTTATTTCTGTATCGTACAAAATCATTGTGCTTAAAATAATATGTTTAGTTTTAAATAATAAATATATTTTATTTTTTATAAGTTATTGATCACAACTGATAAATTATAATTTATTCATTTATTACTCTAAACTATGGAAGTGAACTGAATTGGGTTTTATATGCATCTAAGGAATGACTGAATCATTTATATTGTAACACAAAACTAATTAAAAGTTAGTATTGCTATATACAAATATACAAAAATATAARTTTTATTAAAGTAATTAATATTCTGCATCTGTAGTTTTAAATAAAATAGCGTGCTAAATTATGTGCACAACACCTATTCACAGTTACCGTGAATGGTCTTGTTAAAAGAATAAGAAATTGCGAATTATTTTGTAATGAATTTGTAAAACAGTTTACCAGTTGTTTATCACTGAATGCTTTCATTAAAAATTAATCAAACTCAAAATGCGATTTACACAACAAATAATTTAGTTTTGTTGTAATATTTAGTGTCAATTAAAGTGTTTTGGCAAGAAAATGACAGATCCTTGGCTAGTACAAAACTCAGCCCAACAGAATAATTCGGTTGAGAACGGTACGAGGGGAAACGGTGTGCATCAACAGCAAGGCGAGGAAAAGTTTGAACAAGCGCCTTTAGAGTTTGAGGACAACTTCGCACCTACTCCAGAAAAAAACCGTAGCGACAAGCCGTCAACTTCAGCAAAGATTGACGGAAACAATAGCTCTACACATTGTCTTGAACCTTTGCCCGATTCTGACAATTACTTACGTGGACTCGGTATGTTAAAACAATAAAAAAAAGAAAGCGGTATTTTTAACGTAAAATTTTTAAACTAATTTGGTATTTCTAATAATTCGTCTTGTTGTTTTTCATTACAGAAAGAAAATTGCAAAAAATCAAAAAAGGTGCAAATTTAGTGGAAGCCCTAACTGAGAAGCGTAACGACTGTCTTCGTCATCTACTGAATAGTGGTGACGCTGATAACAACAATGAAGTGTTAGCCTTAGATCAACCTTTGAACAACATTGAATTCTATAGACATCTTCAACCAGTGCAGGCTTTGTCTGTTGGTGAACTGGTCCATATTGTCAAACACGATCAGTTACAGCAGGATCAAGCCCAAAATACCTCCGACCAGCACCAAGAATTGGATGAAGAAGACAAAAAGGAATTAAAATAGTATTAGAAAGTTAATCAAAAATGAACACACAATTCGGCGAAGTTTTTCTCTTTCTAACCGATTTGGCTTGGAAAAGTAGAATAACTATACCGATGCTGGTGACAACAGTCTTTCTCATTATGGATATACGTTTGCAAATAGAAATCAATATACAAACCGGCCAGGTGATAAATTGATTAAATGTTTGAAATATAAATTTGTAACATCAAATACATTTTCAGGCTGCTGCAGATTTAGATGATCTTGATGATGATTATGATGACGATGATGACGACGATGATGATTCAGAAGATTATACTAGTGATGGCTCAAGTAATGAAGACGAGAATGCAAATATGTTTATGGAATTTGCACATGAGCACAATCAGCAGGATAATAATAGCACTGCTAATCGCTGGAGACGTTCATTAGGCTTGAGTTAGTTTTTTTTTTTGTTTTTGTAATAAATGTGTAAAATTTACTATATATATTTATCAATATTTAATTTCATTATATACAAAAATAATACATACCTTCAACTATTATCTTCATAAATATATTATCAAATAATATGCTTATGAAGTAAAATGTTTTGCAATTATGTTGCTTAAAATCCACAACTATTATAACTAATAAAATTTAAATAATCAAAATATGTTCGAAATGTAATCATACACTAATCATTATTATTTTACTCTTTATATTTCTTTAATAAAAATTGCTATAATTACATGTAAAGCTTAATCAATTCGTCACTGACAGCCGATGGAGTAAGAATACCCAAATCAGTAAACAACAATGTTATATAAGCTGGTGGTGTATAATCTACTTGAGGATGCACTTTAGATACATCTACCAAATGCTTACGGGAATACTGAAAATATGATAAAATATTAATAATGCTAAATTGTATATGCTACACGTATGTACTTTATATTCGTCGGGTAAATCGCGCTGGTTTAAAGGATAAAGTCGTGTGAATTTGAAGCTTTCCGCTAAAACATAGAATGGCTTTTTCATCTCACGCGCGCACAAGCCCATGGTAAAAGTACCGATTCGATTTATTATGCCACCGCTTTCAACCACAGCTTCAGCRCCGACCATAACAAAATCCACCGATTCCATTACATATCCTGTTGCCGAATCCAAAATTAATGTGCTGCTTATTCCAGCTTTCTCCAGATCGGAGACCATTTGAGCACTGAGAAAAGGAAAATTATATTAAATAGTATTTTTTTTTTCACAGGATAAAATACCTACCCTGAATTATCTGGACCACCTTGTGTTACATAGACGTGAAATTCTTTATTTTTTGCTGCACTTATTAGCGCCTTTAACACAACACGCGAACGCGAATGGGTCAAAACACGGCAGCCATCGTTGACAAATTTCTTGGCTTGTTGGGCGATAACGTTGCGTGAGTTTAAAAGCTTCGTCAAAAATATCTTGCCACGGTGCAACATAATTTGTCGACATTCTTCCATGTGCTTATCATCCAAACTGAGTGTAATGAAACGACAAAATAGCTCACCACCAGACACTACAGCTGCTATGGACAAATCTGTGTTGCGCATTGCTGCCACTGCATCACGCATTGTGGTGTGTAAAATGTGTATGGTATCAACTGAAAAAATATATATATTCCTAGTCTTTGCGAAAATTGGCTTTATATTTTAGTGTACTTACATTGTTTTTTCTCAAGAATCATTAGCAGAGTTTTGATTGCGGCAATTCCAGAGGAAAGATCTCTATCCTGCTCCAGCAGTTTAAGGAAATAATTGCGCACGTCCGCTGTAAATAAATTAAAGAAAATGTTTCTATATAATTTGATAAGTRAACATTTATAAACTCACCTGCATCATCGATCTTCGGTTCACCGGTTGATGGCATTTTTTAATTGTATTTCAAAAAATTAGACAAGAAATAAAAATGTAACACATATGATAACTTTCACACAATTTCATTGACGTTGCGATTAGATTAAAGTGCAATTAGTCCCCGTTGTAGGACCAGACTGTTGTATACGTATACGTTGATATACGTTCTCTAGTGGAACATATTGATAATTGCTTAGCGCAGAAACTAAACATACACACCGTGTATGGAATTGTGAGTTGTTCCTTAAGAAACTCATTCGGAATTTTGTAGAAATCTCGGGTAGGGTTATTGGGTAATTAACCGGTTATTTAACCAATTGATTACARGTCATGCTACGTACAGCAATATCAAATTTGTCGTTCTTATTGTCTTTGATTCCAGTATGTAGAACATATATATATATTATTATCAGTTTATTCATTAATATGATAAAATATATATTACAGTAATATTRAAGTTGCGGTTGTTAAAGTATTTGATCTCGATTTGAAAATAAATCTGATCTTAAAAGTTTAAGAAACCAATTTTTATTAAAATTCGAAGAAGAGATTAAAATTATCTCTACCTCAAATGAAAGTTGAATTAAACCATATGTGTTGTTTTTAACGTTGGGACTAATCACACCGTTTTACGTGATTACGTATATCAAAACAGAGAACGTTGAATACGAATTGCACATAAAAGAAAATAAGGCAAATGTCAAATCTGAAGGTAAGTAAATGATCTATATTTTTTATTTGTTCATATATTTTAGTTTATTTATATTTTTGTAGGCGATAATGGAGCGAGCAACAATTGATAGTTATATATCTGGAAAAAGTACTCATTCTCCAGTAAAGTCCGAACAATCGAAAAATGCTAAACTAGATTCATCTGATGTATCTGTTGAAAGCAACAAAATTTTTCCTTCRTCAAAATGGGTAAAATTGAATGTTGGAGGAAGGGTGTATGTAACTACGTTGTGCACGTTAGTTAGCAAGGAACCAGATAGTATGCTGGCACGTATGTTCTCCCAAGACGGAATGTTACCTAGTGAACAAGATGAACAAGGCGCCTATCTTATTGATCGTAGCCCTCATTACTTTGAACCAATTATCAACTACTTGCGGCATGGACAACTTATTGTGGACGCTAACGTTAGTCTTGAGGGTATTTTGGAGGAAGCTAGATTTTTCGGTATATACTCACTTATTAGTCAGTTAGAGCCACAACTTCTACAAATTAATAGGTCAATCGACGATATACCGCTCACACGCCGGGACGTTATCAAAGCTTTGATACAAACACCCCATGCTAGTGAGTTACGTTTTCAAGGTGTGAATCTKGCTGGTGCAGACTTGCGTAAGCTTGATTTTCGCAACATAAATTTTAAGGTAAGTAACTTAATATATTATTTAAAAAAAACTTACTTTTGTATAGTTAATTATATACATGTGTATTCTTTCAGTATGCTTGCATGCAAAGGTGTAATTTATCGCATGCTAATTTGACATATTGCTGCCTGGAGCGCACCGACTTAGCCTATGCGAACTTGGAATGCTCGCAATTGGTATCAGTTAAGGGTTTGTGTGCCAATATGGAAGGTGCCAATTTGCGTGGTTGTAATTTTGAGGATCCGACCGGTGTACGTACTAATTTAGAGGGGGTTAATTTGAAAGGTGCTTGCTTGGAGAGTAGTAATATGGCAGGAATAAATTTGCGAGTAGCTAATTTAAAAGATGCCAACATGAAGAATTGTAATTTACGGTCTGCAGTACTAGCCGGAGCAGATTTGGAACGTTGCAACTTGTCTGGCAGCGATTTGCAAGAAGCCAACTTAAGAGGTGCTAACTTAAAAGACGCTGAATTGACCCTCATGGTTACACCMCTACATATGGCACAGGCCATTCGATGAGGGGTAGCTACATTGAATGTAACAATTCCMTACCTTAAATTTCCTGTGATTTGAAACGCTATCGATTCCCTGCTTGTGCTTAATTTTTGATGTTAAAAGAAAAACGTACATACATACATAGAAGTATATTTATTAAGTTAAGCGTCGTAAGAGTGATAGCCTATAACAATATAGAAAATAAGACTTTCCAATTTTAATCTAGGGCGTTTTATATATAAAAACGTATTTATATAAATAAATGAGTAGACCGGAGTTAATAAAACGTTTGTGCAAAATTCTGTAGACTACATAAGAACAAAGGTTATAATCGCTTGTAATGAGTCCAATTTTAATATATGTGGGTCATTTTTATAAATAACAACGTATTTATATAAGTATTATATATATTTATTATTATAACTATATGTTTAGATAAATAAAGTAGTTCGGAGTTAATAAAAAGTTTGCATACATTTCTATAGACTAACATAAGAACAAGGTTTTTAAACGTTTGTAATTAGTCCTACTTGGTCGATGTATAATAATATTTACTTTCGCTTCTSTTTTCCGATAAAATATATTTTTAAACTTGAAAAATAAACATAAAACAATTTCAAACTAAAATGATGCCATTTATTATAACGCGGTTAGAGCCATATCATTTCACCAATTCTATTTATTTACATCTGACCGACCCTGTAGTATGAAATGCTATAAATTGGCTGCACTTTGTTTACAAATTAGCTCTTTCTTTCTAACACATGATCTTAGCTAACATAAGGTATCAGAGTAATCCTGCTTTCGCATTCGCACTTGTGTTGATTTTACAACATATGTGAGGGRAGATTCTATGAAGAACTCTTCCATTTGGTATTTGGAAAAAAAATTGGTGAAAATCGTCACAGTTTCGTTCCAGCTCTGCATCGCACAGACAAGAAATTCTATTTCTGCAGCTGACGTGATATCTCTGTCAACCCCCCCCCAAAAAAACAAATTTTCTCTCGTTGAAAAGAAGAAAGTAAAGCAGCTATAAAGTCGCACGACGAGATTTTGTGCAAACAATTTTCGTGTTCACAATATTTTGGCGAATTTAAATTGTCGAAAAATTTTATTTTGCCAACWTCATAGTCGGTGAAATTAAGAAAAAAATTGAAAGAAAATCCTAAGCAGCAACTAGCTTCCTCTGGAGTGCAGCAGCGTAAAAGGGACGTAGGTAGAAAACGCTCGTACAGTGCGCCTAGCACCAYTGGTGGGAAGAGCATAACAACAAAATAGTATCGAACGGGACGAGTGCCGCTACATACGATAGGAAAGAGGCGAAAAAACGTGGTTTTTTGGTTCGATAGCAGCCCAGCAGAAAATTGTCAAATTATAGCAAACGAAAATAYTGAGTGAATTACGCGCTTTTTAGTGTCACCAGTGAAGAAGAATAAAAGGTGCAATCTTCGCGAAACCGTTAAAAATGGAAAATCAAAACAATACCGATGTTGCAGATGCAGCTAACGCTGCTGAAAATGGTTCAAACGCTACTCCGGAAGTGTCTTCTACAAGTAAGTAGTTGAATTAAGTATATTTTTTATTTTAAACTATATGCTAAACATAACAATTTCGATATATAATGCGTTTTATTGTGAAAATTAATTGTATGAAATATTTTTTTGTTATACGTTCCATCATATGCATATACATCTGTCGCAACAAATATTACGCGGTAAATTTTGTTTCTTGCACTCTAGGGAGAGTTGCTTTAATCGGTTGTAAGTACTCCAAGTTTAACAGTTTCATTAAGAATAGCTTGAGTTAATAGCATTTATTGCTCTAGAAAACAATTAATTTTTCCGTCAATTACATTGAAATAAATACATCAATGTATACTTTGTTAAAAAAATGTTTYAAAGTTATAATTTCACAAAAACATGAAATTTTACCTATAGCTATTGTAGTACTTTGTGTAAATGATTCTAACATTTTGTACATAACTACACTTTTAAGCGCGAAATTTAAGTGTTTTTAACAATAACAATATTCATTCATTCTTCAACAATAACAATTTTAAATCGTTTCTTCTTCCTAATACTCCACATTTGTTCAAACACTTTCTTTCTAAGTACAAAAGAGTGAACTTCTCTTTTTTCATATTTGTTTTACCACCTTTTCGTATATCATCATCGCTGTCCATATGCAATCTTTCACGCGATCAGCGAGTTTCAAAATAGGCAAAAACAGAAACATGAAAAATATAGCATTGCGATTTCTATCAATATACACACACCGTTCTTTATGAATCATATTTGACTGCTTGGATTTTCAAGGGGGCGAGTGGTGTTAGAAAGCTTTGTGGATTTACCTTTATTTTGTTGTCCATTTCTCTAATAAGTTAGTTACGGTTTTTTAACGCTACTTATTTACATACGTATATGTATACAAGAATGTAAACATGTAAATGCTTCAATTAAACAAATACCGTAATTTGGTATTACGATTACTTAAGTTTTTCTACCATTGTAGCCTGTGTGGATAAGAACCATTAATTCTCCGATAGAACCACTGTGCACAGTACAGGTCAGTCATAATTGGTGTAGCATTTAGTATGGATTGTTGATGATTCGTATGATTTGCTCATCGTTTATGAATGCCAACAACATTGCGTCGTTTTTTCATTTTCTTTTTCACTAGCTGTCATTAACAATTCCAAATAGGAATGAGCACGCGCATATATACACGTATATTATGAACGCTGTGTATATGGTCTCATTTAAGAATTACATATTTATTAATTTTCTTTTTTTTTGATATATTTTCGTTGATTTGTAGAATTGCAGCGAATGTTTGATGAAATAATATTTCTTGGGCGTGTATAAGTAATAACTCGTCCCTGTTACTACTTTTTGCATTATGTAGAGTTCATAAAAAGTGAATCCCAAGTATATTTTTTACTTCAAACGTCAACTTTTTTGCTACAAGTCACTTTTATGCAAAACTGGTTTATGACATAATTTTTAATAATAAGCGTTTTTTTTTTAGTTTTTTACAATAAATACATATATGTATATATCAATTTGTTAAATGTGTTTATGAAAATGACAAAGAAGATGAGAATAGGCTGACTGCTCTCCACGTCCAACATTGCGATGACATAGTTAATTTTACAATCGTTATAAATATGTTAGCATTGAAATCCTTTGTAATATTATTTAATACAATATATTTTTTAATAACGCTTGTGCTTTTTGTTGCATATTTATTTAATTTTATTAAATTTTTTTTAGCTAATGTACCCACTGAGCCAAATAAACGATCACTACGTGTTCAAACCTGGAAGAAAATTCAGGACAACAAGTGCGGCGTCGGTTTCAATGCTATTTTCAATCGCATACCTGGTTTTGTGGACAGCGACAAAGCTGCCAAACTTCTCTCAGAAACCGAAGAGTTCAAAAAAGCTSGTAAGTAAATTTAATTAACTTCTCTACACTTATACATAATGTATATTAACAATAAATTTATTTGTATGTTATGTATATAGAAAACATCAAGGTCAATATTGATCGCGCTTTGCATTCGGTTAAATTGGAAACTCTGCTTGCTGGGAAAAATTTGTATTTACCAGGAACGCGTGACTCCAAAGCTATATATTTAAAAGTTGACGTGCCTGCTGACGCCACAGATGATCAGAAAAAGGAAATTCTAAATGTACAAGATGTTCAGCAACATCGCACTGAAATAAGTAAGTTCAAAAGTTCTTAACAGGATTTTTGAAAGATGTACATTCGGTTTGAATAACCTGTTTCAATGGCGTATAATTCCTATATAGTGCATTAAGATAATTTGTTTTCTTTTACAGCTTTAGAAAACAAAGTTAAGTTGGATATGGTAGTCATTGGTTCGGTGGTAGTATCACGAGATGGTTACCGCATTGGACGCGGTAACGGTTACGCCGATCAAGATATTGGCTTGCTTACCGAAATTGGTTCAATTACGCCTGACACAGTAATCGCTACGATGGTACATGACCTGCAGGTATGACACAAGGCAAAGAATACAACATGTGCATATGTTTACTTGAATGTATGCGTATCTCTAAATAGAACTAARCAAAAATAAATATTTAAACATTAATGACCTTAAGTTCATCGCTACAATAGTAGTCGTTGTTATTTAAATGATAAGCTATGCGTGCAAGCACTCTATGCATTTGCATCAAATATTTCCAATGATTTTTAATATATTACGAACATTTTCTTACAGGTTGTTGATAGCCTGCCAAAGGAGCTATTTCAAAAATACGATACTCCAGTTGATTTGATTGTAACACCCACAGAGGTTATACGTGTCAGCAAACGGTTGCCACGCCCAACTGGCATATTCTGGGAATTGCTTTCGGAGCGTCGTCTTAAGATTGGACCTGTTCTCCAGGTGCTTAAGGAAAGCCARGAGAAGGACGGTAAAGTAATTGTGCTGAAAGAAGTGGATACCGATATTGAACAAAATCCAAATTTACGCAATCGTCGCCGTGGACCGGTTCGTCGGCGTTTCGGACGTCGTATCCAACGTCGCGCTATATCTCAAACCGATACTGAACAACAAGGTGTAAGTACAAAACTACCAGCAAATTTGTATAAGAAATATTTAAAATTTTTACAATATCATTTTATTTTTCGCAATAGCAAAATGCCATCTCAAATACTGCTGGGCGTAATCCTCGCAGAGCCCGCCGTTTCCCGAACCGAAGACGGCGTCCAACAAAGGTACATACTTTACATTTATAAGTTTGTAATACCCAGGTAACTTTGAAGACCCTATAAAATATATACATGCATTTGTATGGTAAGCTGAGTCGTTTTAGACAAGCCCGTCTGTCTGCGAACTAACCTTTAAAATTTTAAAATATAGATGAACATGTGATGGATGTTGTAGTATGCAGCCGAATATAAAATGTTTCTTGTTTCTAATATTTTTTTTTTTTGTATTCTTTTAGTCGGAAGGCGATCAATCGGGCGTTGAAGGCAAAAGCCAGGACCGCAAGGGAGCCGGCGGTGATCGCAAACAGCAACAACAGCAGCGGCAGCAGCGTGTGCGTAAGAATCGACTTGCCCGCGATTTCTGCATTAAACTTTCGAATATTACGCGAGATGTGCGCGTAAAGGATTTGAAGTCCGAGTTACGTAAGCGCGAATGTAACCCACTCTATATCTCATGGAAAGGTAAATATAATAGCTTCTTTCTTATATACAGCTGCGGTCACCTAATTAGCAACGCTGCTTTTTTGCATCATATTACCATTCATAAGTTGACAAGTTTACTAGAATAATTTTAACTTTTGCAGGATTCACATTTCATTGCTTTTTAAATAATATGTAGTTTCTTAATTTTTTTTCTTCTGAACAACACTTTTCACTATTTTAAATCTAGCAAAACTTCTCGGTCACATAATTAACAACGCTTTAAATGTGAYCTGATCTACGAAAAGGTAGTTAACGTGCGAAAACTAGTTTATGACTTTTTGGATTCTATCAYGTGAAAAAGCATCTCATCTTCCATCCGAATTAACTAAGATTTTTTGACACGTAAGCCCCCTTTCTGTAGACCAGGTCACATATATTGTTAAACAAAATTATTTATTCAGGTCTGGACAGCACGAAAGCTAGCTTAATAAAGAAATCATATTTTTRCTCATCCATCGTTTAATTGACCGCGCAGTATATTTGCGGTCGTTATTTTATTGAAAGAATTAAGTAACAGGCATATTGTCATCGAAATATCGAACCATTTCACTCTCAGTATAGAAATGTACTGGCGCTGATCCATATGAATCTCAATTTTTGTCACCCTTTCATGACATAGCACCCCGGTTTCATGCCTCCAAGTGTCTTCAGGAATGTTTTCTGTCGGCCTATCATTGTCTCAACCAATCATTTGGATGTTGTCATGTTTCTGCTGAAACTTACCTAAATTAGTTGTAAATGTWGATTCAAATAAGTATTAAAACATTGCGTTGCTAATTACGTGACCGACTGTAATTTATGCGTACTTAAGAAAAACACTCGAGATTTGTAAACTACATATGAATAGATGTGGAATGCCTCGGGACCTTAGGTCTATTATGCCTTCTCCTAAATCACAAATACCCTCCTAGCTTCAGCATATTGATAAATATATACTGCTAGGTGGTAGTGTGGTGATGTTATTCCTATTTGGAAACAAGAATCCCAGAGCCTTTATCCTGCGTCTGTGGACTGCTATATGTAGTCAATTAACAGGTGTTCTGGATTTGTGACTCCCTATCGCAGATCCGGCAATTTGTAGAAAAAGCTATGCCCATATTATTTAAGTGCTCCTTCCGCTTGCAGTGGCCTGTATAGAATGCTACAAGTAGCCCAAGTTTTTTTTTTTTTGTAAACTAACGGGTGTTTTTGAAAAAAAATTGACAAGCACCGCTAGGGAACCATTTTAACATTCATATAAAGTGAAAAGTGTTAGCGGATTAAAAAAAATATTGGTGTTAGAAAAAACAAATTTCATTGGTGCATATCGTTGTTAATTACTTGATCTTAACTTTACATGTCTACGCATTCACGCGTACATGGTTTACGACGAAAACTAATAATTAAATCACTTAATAGGTCAATTTGGCAAGTGCTACTTGCATTTTGGCAATCGCAATGGCACACCGAGTACTGAGGACGAAATCGAAAAGGTGCTCAAATCGTTGAATGACTTGTCATTGACAGTGACTACCGGTGGTGGTGCTGGCGCTGGTAATGCCAGTGGCGCGGAAGGAGACGCTGCGCAACCACAACAGACAAAAACGGTCGCAGTCAATGTGGAGTTGCTCAAGTTTGATGAGAAGAAAGCTGAAGGTGGTAGCAGTGCTACTGAAAATGGTGACGTTGCTGCAGGCGGTGATGCTGGCGCTGCTCGCATCGAGKCCGTCGATACCACCACCGTATAGTATGAGCTACGGGCTGTTTTGAAACGGCTGTACTTTTGGTTGGGACATTTGGAATCGTGCGTTCAACGAGAGAAAATTGTTTAACATTCATTTACTCCTCCGTCAACACCCGCCCCTACATATACATACATTAATTTGCCTTCCCCGTTCAGTAATATATTATGAAACTACTACGCACGTTTCTTATTTTTTCCGAATGTCAGATTAGTTTAATTTTTAATATTTTAAAATATTCTTACAAATTAACAAATAAAACAATTAAAGATTTTTGTTCTTTGCCATTACGGGGTATTATGATAGCCAAGTTTGAACAAAATATTTGTTTGATATTTGTACCATCCCCGTCGGTTTAATTTCGATTGTAATATATTAATTTTTTTTAATTTCTCGTATTGCGTAGATAAAAAAATACTCTTAATAATTATTAGCTTGCGCGCACTTTTTAACTTATTTGTAAACTCAATATACGAAGATAACTAGCAAATATAAAAAAAAAA